CTTCAGAGCTCTGCCTGGATTTCAATTCCAGGCTAAACCAGAGCTGCTGATTTGACTGATGTTAGTTTACATGACTTCAATTAAGCCTAATTCTGTTTAATGACATACTATAATAGCTCATGATTGCTCCACACAGATAGTCGAATGGTCTTTTTCATTTGAAATGAGAAACACTAGCATCTTTTTACATAGAAGCATAACGAAAAATCTTTGACTCTATTGGCAAATCTCATTCTCGTAGCACTGTTTTAATCAACCAGAGAATTTCTTTGTCTTCAGCATAGATTGAAATTTAAAGTGAACTGTATATTTTGAATGGTGTTTAAAATAATAATAGCTAATACTTATTGAGGATTTACTATGTACCAGGCATTTTAAAAACTGTTTATTTATTTTTTATACAGCAGGTTCTTATTATCTACTTTATACATATTAGTGTATTTATGTCAACCTCAATCTCCCAATTCATCCCACCACCACCACCCCACGCCCGGCTTTCCCCCCTTGGTGTCCATACGTTTGTTCTCTGCATCTGTGTCTCAGTTTCTGCCCTGCAAACCGGTTCATCTGTACCATTTTTCTAGGTTCCACATATATGCGTTAATATACGGTATTTTTTTTTCTCTTTCTGACTTACTTCACTCTGTATGACAGTCTCTAGGTCCATCCACGTCTCTACAAATGACCCAATTTTGTTCCTTTTTATGGCTGAGTAATATTCCATTGTATATATGTACCACATCTTCTTTATCCATTAGTCTGTCAATGGACACTTAGGTTGCTTCCATGATCTGTCTATTGTAAATAGTGCTGCAATGAACATTGTGCATGTGTTTTTTTGAATTATGGTTTTCTCTGGGTATATGCCCAGTAGTGGGACTGCTGGGCCACATTGTACCAGGCATTTTCTAAGGACTTTGTGTTAATTCATTTGGTCTTTGAAAAATAAATACATAAATCTTAAAAGTGAGAAAACCAAGAAGCTGACGGTTGTCCAAACAAGGACAGGAACTCAGGCAGCCTAGCTCATTGCCATGAGCCTAAGTACTACATGACCCTACCCTTTCATTACACATTCCCCCACCCCCTGACCCCCCCACCCCCTGAGAAAGGGATTGAACCCCGGCCCTCGGCAGTGAAAGCGCGGAGTCCTAACCGCTGGACCGCCAGGGAATTCCCTCAATAACACAGTTTTAATCATTTGTTTGATGTCAGCAAACACAAGCACATACACTGACACTGCTGTGCTAAACAGCCTGTACAGGGATTGAATTTATACTCTTAGATCAATGCCACCTTGAACCTAGACCGTCATCACAGTAGTGAAGTGGTCTAATCACTGAACCGGAGCATTAGAGATGAGAGGAAATGGAGAGATCCTTTTGGATCTCACCTAATTTCTTCTGATTTTTATCCTCCAACTAAAATTTTCTTTCCTCATTTTTAGACATCCACACTTATTCACCTTATCTAGCTAATTGAGTCAATATTCCTATTTCCAATATGAAACCAAGACACTACAATAATTTATCTGATCTCTGCTTCTAGTTTGTCTCCCTTACTAGAGCAAGAGGAATCTTTACTTCACCCCAGTCTATATAGGTCTACATTAAACTGTCAATGGCTCCCCATTGCCTGAGTCAGTAGTTCTCAAATATGTACAGGAACTTATTATGGTGATGGTTGCACAACTCTGTGAATACACTCAAAACCATTGACCTGTGTACTTTAAATAGGTGAACTGTATGGTATGTGAACTATATCTCAAAGTTGTTACTTTAAAAAATTCATTGAGGAAATCAAAGCACCTGGAAGTCATGGCACGCTATGTGTAAAATCCTAAAATGTTGAACTAAAAGCAGTTTTTCTAGCAGAAAATAACAGTATGGTAGATATTATATATAAGATTAAAATTCACTACTTTACAACTCTGTCTACAAAAAAAGCAAGTGGTTGAGCTAAGATTATCACCAGTTTCTAACGTTTGCCTCTAATATTAAATTGCCATTTGTTCAATTGCCCACCACTGTTTGCCAGCAAAGAAGCAGTAACATCAAAGACAAGGAATATTTGAAAGGAAAACTTTAAAATTGGGTACATCCTATACAATACTTTTTATTTGTCTTCAAATTAAGACTTTAGGAAAGATCCCATATTTGGAATTACACTAAGGTTTTTCTGGAGGGAAAAATTTGACAATCCCTGGCTTCCTAGAAAATGCTTATTTTTCTTGACGTATCATAAAAGATACTTTTTTCAACCTGACCTTAAATTCCCTTTCTATCTTCACCTCATTCCACAGCGCCTTAGGCTGCCACACAGCAGAAGCCACCTATCTCCCACAGCCATCGGAGCTAAGTATCCCCCAAACACACCCAGCAGCTTTGCCCTCACAGAGGCTTCGACATCTGAGCTGTCCTTTGAAACATGAAAGTTCTCCAGGAAAAGAGCAAAAGGGATTCTAAGCTGAAAGAATTCAGCACCAGGACAGAAACTGAGAGGGTAAGGGCATTCACACCCCAATGGGTCTGGCCTCAGTGTGGGGGAGGTTTGCGGCTGGCAGGAGGCTGGGACTGGCTCTTCTCCTGGTCTGTGCTTGATGACATGAGCAAAAGGGTGACTCCATCAGGTCTGTGCTGTACTCTGCTCTCAACACCCTCTTCTTCCCCACCCCCTCCCCAAATACATGTTGACCACGTAAGAAGGTTGACCACAGTCATAGGTACGATATGGGGACAAAGGACAGACAGGCCTGATGGAGCCTCATAAGAATGAAGCTGGAACCCAAGACTGTGTCCTAACCATTGAGCAATCAGCCAATGTTGTGCTATGAAATCACACACTGAAGCCAAAGGCAAGAATGTGGTAGAACCAACAAAGCTGGTTTCTGTGGAAAGCCAAGATCATTCACCTAAAGATGCCTGGCCTCTCAGTAGCCGGCCCAGATTTTCTTAGCCCAAAGGACTCTCTCCTCTGAAATCCTCTGGAGCACTTAACTTTGTACTTACGACAGTCTGAAAAAAATTTTTCTTCTTGTATTGCAGTTGTTTTGTCCTCATTCCTGGTACCTTTTTTTTTCCTTTGCCTCATTTTAAAAGCTTATACCTAATACAATGCAGCTTTAAAAGACATCTTGGGAGTAAGGTATGGTATAAATCAGTCAACAACAAGTCTTGTTAGATTTTAAGTTCAAGAGGGGAGAAGTCACGTCCCATTCACCTTTATCAATCCCACAGCACTAAGGAAAACATATTTGTTGAATAAATTGACATTGTGATAACAGTATGGTAAAGTAAAAACATTCTTTGGCTTTTAAAAGAAGTTGACATTTTTAATTTTTTTCCCCCCCTGGGAGATCACCGCCTGTACTAGAGTATTCACATAAATGTTTATCTTTCATGTTTAAAAATTTCATCTCTCCTAACCATACACCTGCTGTCTGTACTTGTAGCTTTTTTTCCTTGATGTGATTTGCCAAAGTTTCATCCCTTGTATAGGTCTTTTTGGAGAAAAGCAACCCTTAGATTTATTTATTCTGCCTATTTTTTGTTTGTTTTCTAATAGAACAGATATAGTTATTTCAACAAAATTATAAAGTAAAACTACAAAGAAACAAAAATATTTGATACTCACTGAGTCACAATTTTGTAAGGCAGAAAGTTAACAATAATCAGCATAGGTACAATAAATTATAAAGATCTGTTGATATTTTAATGGGGAAAAATAGCCAGAAGAAACACAAAGATACTTTAAAATACAACATCATTGCCACAGCGCATGAGAACACTTCCATAAAAAATTAACTATTTCCTCTTAGACACTTCATCTTTCAGCCCTCTTTGAATTTACATTCTGAAATCTTGATTTTCTACTGCAGTTTATAAACTAGCCATTCTCTCAATCCATGGACCCACAAAGATCAGTCCCACCACGAGCAAATAAAAGGACCACTTCCTGTTAGAGATACAGCACTTCAAGGCTAATATTGAATCTTAATTGGCAAAATGTTTAGTGCAAATAAAATTATATTTAGCAGCTTAGACAATTCCTGGTGGGGAGGCATTCACCTCATAACCCTTACTGCATCCCCGGAACAAAATCATTTCTCACTTTTCATGAGTATGAACATTGGCCATTCAAACCCTACTGAAAACTACCGATGCTAATTCTGCTGTTTGTTACACAGGGAGTTTCCATAAAAGATGGTTTCAGTCACTATGCAAATGAGCCATACCGTTTTTTACATTTGGAAAGTTCCCCTCAGGTTGATGTTTTTTTGAAAAAAGCAGGGTCTGAATGTCAGTCACAACTGGATCTTACCCAACTGCTTCTCTGAAACGAGGCATTCATCATTTCTTGTGCTGGCCACCAAAGGTTGCATGCAAAGAAAGACCTGACGATGGGGCAGAGGAATCTCTTAAAGCAACTTCTACTCTCCAGTAATAATTTTACCGCACAGATTTGAATGAAAAAAAAAAAAAAAAAAAAAAAAGGGAAATAAGAGGAGCCATCTGATTTCAAACCTGGTGTTTTCCACTCTCAGCCAAGATCTGTTCTCCAAATGAATGGAAGCCAGAGAGCTCCTAGCCAGAGAGACGATTGTGTTTGAGCTTCATCAATTCCTTGAATTGCCTCTCTTCTTGTTAGACATCTGTTTCCTCTCTAGCCAAGGCCTGGGGTAGCTGCTTGGGAGAACAGTGTGGCCTGCTGTGCCCAGATCTGTGATGGCAAGGGAAGGAGAAAAACAGCGGGGCTTTAAGCACCTGACTCTGCTCCTTGTCTACGTTCACTGGCCCAAGGACTTGAGCCGTCAGAAAGCTTGGATGACCTCTGAGGTCCAGGATGTGCTGACGCAGAATCCGGGGAGGTAAACACTAGGTAGGCCATCTCACTTGGCCTGTCGACCAATTCCTCAGCAATTTTTCCATGCCCCCTGGATTCTCTCACTGAAGAGCTCAAGGATGGGAGTGTGGAGGCCATGTTGGAGAGAGGGGCTCCCCTCAGTCACTATACTCTTCTCTTTCCCGTAGACTGGGGAATTTCTCATACTGGTTGGCTGCCTTCCATCTGCTGTGCTGACTTTTGAGCAGTGCAGCAAAGGAAGTCTTTCGGGTGACATTTCTAGATATTTCCCGGCTCTTGGCCTTCCTGGTGGGGGAAGAGCTTCGAACCAAGGGATAGGTGGAAAAAATGGGCTTGCCTCGTGGGGCTTCCAGTAGCTGCCATATTTCCCCAGAGGTATTACTGGTCAGATACTGCCAAGGCTTCTTCCCACTGCTGTCCCGGACGTTCACACGAGACGCCAACCTTTGCACTAGCAATTTGATGATCCCCTGGTGGCCATGAATGGCTGCAAGGTGCAGCGGGGTATACCCACAACTGGACTTCACATTTACATCAAGAGCAATCCCTGCTTTCTGTGCGCCTGAGACCAAGTCCTGAAGAGCCCTGAGGTCACCGTGTTTGGCTATCCAGTGCAAGGCAGTGTACCCGGTCAAAAAGTCTTTGTGCAAAGCCAGCTGGGGGTCCTCCCAGAACAAAGTCAACACCTGAATCCAAGAGCCACTGGCAAGCTTCACAATCCATTCATGCTCCCTGGCATCAAGAGGGACCAGGGATGACTTGTGCTCGGAAGATCTGGGGGGGATCAAGGCTGCAGGCCTCTCCCCTCCAGGGGCCCATGAGCTGTGTGGATGACCACACTCAACAACAGTAGCCTTAATGTCTGCAGGTTTTGGTGTCAAAGCGGCATCCACCCTTGGGCTGGACATTGCTCCCACCTTCGAGGGTTTCCTGGACCGGGGAGGGCGCCGGCTCCTTTTCAGCAAATCCTCCTCAAGGCACTCCTCATCAGAGGAGGACAATTTGGCTCTCTCTGCCCTAGAGCTCCTCCTTAGGGATCTCCTTAATTTGGGGACAGGCCAGGGCAAAGGCTGAGGGTGGCCTGCAAGGCCACCAGCTCCTGTTGGGATGGGCTGAGAAGGGTGACCATCCTCTCTGTTCCTGAGGCTCTGAAGGCTCCTGCTGGGGCTGCCCTCCTTTGGAGAAGGGGCCCCAGCTGGATTCCTGAGCCTTCTCCCATCTGGGGCTCCCGGGGCAAGGTGCAGCCCTTCTTCAGAACCCCCAGGGGACTCTTTGGGTCCACTGCTGCTCTCCTCACTGCCGTGGCTCTCCTGGTCCACAAAGGCCTCCAGATCTTGTAGGGACAGCTGACAACGAATGCTACGAAAGACTGCCAGTGGAGACTTCCCGGGCCAGGATTCCGAAACAGCGGGAAAGAGACAATGAGGGGGAGGAGGGAGGTCTGGTGGCGCTGGCTTAGATACCGGGACCCAGAAGCCCGGCTCCGAGGGCAGCTGGGGGAAGTTGTCTGGCAGCATCGACCAGGCTCGGATGGGACCCTGGTCTCGGGCCTCGGGTATCTGGGGGTGTCTGGCCACCCACTCTCGAGTGCGCTGCTGTTGCTTCTGCAGGGTCGAATAATGCAGGGAGTCCGGGGCCACCAGTTCTGGCGGCTCTCGGGGGGGAGTGGAGCAGGGCAGGAGAGCAGGTGGGGAAGCCCCGCTCCCAGCAGCCTCGCCGGCCTCGACGGTTGTGGGAGAGCGGGGTGAGGTGGGCACCGGCGGGGGCTCCGCGGGCGCACATTCCCGCTGCGGCCTGGGAGCCCCGCGGTCGTCCTGGGCAGGCGGGGCCGGCGCCAGCTTCTCCCAGGCGCTGGCGGTGGCGGTGGGGGGGTCGGGGAGTGTGGGGGTGGGGGGGTCGGGGAGTGAGCCGAGAAGCGGCTCGCCCGGGAGTCCCCCCAGGCCGTTCCGGAGGCATTCCCAGCAGCGGCGGCCCTGCGTCTCGGCCGCCGCGCACCTCGCTCCGTCCTGGGCGGCTGCGGGCACCGGCGCCCTGTGGCCGGAGCTGCCCCTCCGCCGGCCGCCTCTCCGGGCCGCCTCCCGGGCCCTGCTGGCGGGGAGTCCATTGCAACCTGCCTCGGCGGCCGGGTCTGCGGCACCTGCTGGCTCCTCCTCTAGCTCCTTCTCGCGCCGCCGCCGCCGGGGTTGCTGCTGCGGCGGCGGCAGCGGCCGCGGCGGCGGCTCCCCCCTGCGCGCGAGGAGCGGGAAGCTGGGCGCAGCTCCCCCTGCAGGGGCGGCGGCCGCGGGCGGGTCTCTGGGTCGCTGCAGCCCCTCTTCCCCCAAAAGGTCCCTGTACCTCCTCTTGAGCACCACGTACTTGGTGCCGTCGGGGTCCTGGCGCACTGCGGCCACCGAGTTGACGAAGCCCTTGAAAAGCTCGCGGCGGCGCTGGTGCTGGCTGGGGGGCGTATCGGGGTCTCGGAGGAAGCTCTTGAAGTGGCTCAGCAAGGCGGCGTTGGTCACTCGGCCCCCGGCCTGGCACAGAAAGTCCAGTAGTGCCTCCTGGCTCAACTCTCGGGCCATCGCTGCCCCGTCGTCCCCTGGCCCCGAGGTGTCTGCGTCTCGTCCTCCTTGCGCTCTCCCCCGCCAACAGAAACCCTGGCCTGGCGTCTGTCACCTGCGCCCGGGGCGGCGCCACCCGCCTCCATCAGCCGCGGCCTGCTTGCTGTCCCAGAACGTGCCAAGAGGGCCGCGGGTCCCCCGGGGAGAGACCCCGGTGCTGAGCCCCCGCGCGCAGCCCAGGGTGGGAGAGGGCGGCTCCCAGGCCGCCCCTGCGCGATGCGCGCCTTGCGCAGCGAGTCCCCACTGCGAAAGTTCCCGGGATAGGTCGGAGTCGGTTTCACCTGCGCCCTGGCGACGCCTCCTCCCCGGCTCTGGGGGAAGGGCCCGGCCCGCCTCCTCCTGTCCCTCCTCCCTCTGAGGTCTCCCCCACCCCTGCCACCCATCCCAGATGAGTCAGGC